CCCATCGCAAGATCCTTAACTCACGTCAGCAAAGCTCCTTTTACCATGAAAGTAACATATTCACAGGTCCTGAGATTTAGGAGGTGCATGTCTTTCGGGGGATAGGATTCAGCCCGGCACAACCTAAGCATCGTGGCCCGCCTGCTGTTCCTTGGACGCAGCGGGCGGCTCGGCTCATGGCCTTTGCGCTTGCTGTGCGCCTCTGTGGAGACCTGCTCAGCTTCCTGGCTCCCTCCCTCAGGCCTTTGCTCCAAGGTCACCTTCTCTGTGAAGTTTTCCCAGGCCACTTAAAAGTGACCCCCAACATCACCTCTGCTGTCTGACTTTTCTCCACTGTACATACCACCATAAAACGTAAGCTTTCTGAAAGACAGAGGTTTTTTTATGTTTCATTCACTGCTGTACTCACTATATAGAACAGGACCTGGCTGGCACATAGTAGGTCCTCTGTAAATAACCAAATGAGAAGAATAAGTCAATTTTTTTTTTTAATTCAACACTTTAGAAAACTGGATTCCTTGTATTTTCAAAGGTCAGCTTCTGGCATGTGCTGCCCTCAGGAGACTCTGACTTTCTTATTCAAATACAATCTCTTACATGTTCTGCTTTTCTTTTTCTTTTAAAAAAATTTTTTTAAATTGTATTTATTTATTTTTAGAGGCAAGGAAGGGAGAGAGAAAAAGAGGGCGAGAAACATCAATGTGTGGCTGTCTCTCGTGCACCCCCTACTGGGGACCTGGCCCACAACCCAGGCATGTGCCCTGACTGGGGACTGAACCAGCAACCCTTTGATTCACAGGCTGTCACTCAATCTACTGAGCCACACCAGCCAGGGCTCCTTTTAAACTTCTCAATATGGCAAATTTCAAACACATGAAAGTAAAGGGAAGAGTATAAAGAACTCCCCAAGACCCACCACGCAGGTGAAACAATCCTCAACGCCAGTTTGCCACCCTTGTGTCATCCAGCCCCTGCCTCTCCTTCCAGGGCTCTCCAAAGCCCTGTTTACCGGGGCGGCCCCTGCAGCCTGGAGCTCCTGAGGGGCTCGGGCCTCGGGCTGCAACATCTCCCTGAGGCGGAGGCCTGGCGCAAGGTGAAAGCTAAGAACCACGGGACCCCTGCCAGCAGCGACGGTTCTCCAGAATCATTTCTGCTACAGAAATCAATTTCGCTGCACTTGGCTATGGATTCCCACTTTCAAAGACTTCATTAAGATCTTTAACTATAAATCTTCAGCTTTTAGTTTCTCCTATTTGGACATCTGGGAAGATCATAAGATCACATTTTTCGTGGAACTTGAAATGTCATTATCCAATATACTGGTTTTAGTTCCAGAATTACTTATTTATTCAGAGAACACCTACTTCTTGCTCACCAATTTTATCATAAATCTTACGTTTTTAACCTCTGCATCTTGCCTCTTTTTCTTTATTGCTTTCTTAATGCACAGTTTTCTACCTTTTTGAAAAAAACATGACATTGTTACCTACGCAGCTAAACTTGTAAAAGTATACATGAGGAAATACAGATAACTCAAGTATATGTTAAAAATGAGAATTTCAAAAGACAGACTCGCAGAGAAGGAGAACAAATGAATGGTTGCCAAGGGTTAGGAACAAGGGATGAAGAAAGAGCCGACTGTGGCTTTAAAAAGGCAGCACAGGAGAGCGTCGCTGATGAGTGTTCTGTATCTTCTCTGCGGTCGCCCGAGTCTACACCTGCGATACAATCGCGCAGAACTAAAGACACACACACACAGTGTGTGGAAAACAGGTGAAATGTGGCGAGGCTGTGGGCTGCCCCAGGGCCAGGTCCCGGTGCTGGTACCGTTCTTCCAATGGAGGAAACTGAGGGGAGTGCGCGCAGGACCTCTCTGTATCATTTTTTGCAACTTCCTGTGAATTTATAATTAGTTAATTTTTTTTAAATGAATGTGAAAAATGAATAACTAAAAACCTTTACTCCTCAGAATTACTTGTGCTGTAAATGACAGCACACTTACCCTTGTCATAAAAACTCAACAATTTTGTATTTTTGAAACTGACCATTTGGTAATTGCTACTCATTTTAAAATATCATCCTTTAAAGTGCCAGGAATCCTGTGGGCACACACAATAAAATGAACATAAAATTACAAATAGCAAGACGATAAAGCAGCCCAATGAATTGCCCAGTGAATAACTTTGCTTACTAAAAGATGTACTGTTTTCAAGATATGTCAGCATGATGTGCTCCCACGGAGACGCGAGGTCCCTGCAGGGACAACCGCTGATAGCACAGGGCGGAGGAGGCCAGCACCGAAAGAGCACACGGGGATCACTCACGCAGCAGGGCTTTAGATGTGAACGCAGAGAGAGGAGATGCAGAAAGGAGACAAAGTCAGAGCGAAACCAGTTTTCCAGCATGGTCTGTGGCATAGCATAATTAAATCTCCAAAGTCCTCCCTGATCAGGGTTCCTTACTGTGAGTCAGCCACCCATTTGGCCTAAAGATCTAAGCAAACAGGTTTTTTCTAAGGGTACACATGTAGTTCATGGTGCCAATCCCACATAACTGTCCCAATGTCACTAAAATCCCAAGGTGACTACATTAAAAGAGAACGAGAGAAGAGTGAGGCACACAGTGAGCGCCTCTACAATGAAGTCATAAAGCAGCAGGACAGCCCATTCAACAGAAGGACTTCTTCCCTGTTTCAAAAATAAAAACACCATGTGAAACAAATGAAAATGCTACTTATTTTTATTACGTTGTGGTTTTAACACTTGAAATAAACCAAATCCAATCCTACTAATTACTGGCCATCCATGGTCACCTTCATACAACAGCTCTATGAAAAAATCACAAATCAGAGCCACCTTACAGGTTCTGTTGAAAATATTTTCTATTCTTACACATGTGCTCCAAAACTGAGGTTAAAGAAAAAAAACACAAAAACCCCAAATCCAACTGGACAAAGAGGGAAGAATTCTGGTGGACAATTGGACTACTGTGTTGCAAATTAAACTGTTCACACCTGCAGAATAATCTCACCAGCATAACCAATCTACCCTGAAATGCAGCCCCATTGTACCAAAAGGAGGATCTGTTCTTCCACTAGATCCTATCTTTCACCGATAAGCTCTCTGGATGAGAAAACCAGCAGCAGATGTGAAAGCCACATGGCCCTCTACAAAGCAGGAGAGCAAAAAGCAATGTTAAAAGAAAAGATTCCTTAAACAGCAGCTCCCTATCAAGAATGAAGATTTTATCGTCTAATGCTGACTCTGTGGAAAGCAGCTAGCTATTAGACCCTATTCCAAGACTCCGGTTCACAGTATCAGGCTGACATCCAGGAGTTGGACTCGCTCAGCTACACCCTTGTTTTCAACTCTTGGGAACAGGGCCAATGTGTAAAGTTAGAATATAACAAATACAATTTGCAAGGGGAAAGAAGAAGACAATGTAGGTACTCTTACTTAATGTAATCGATAGGCTCTAAGCATGGTTTACACTTCAGTACATTTTTATTTAGTGAATTTTAGCCTTTGAATAATTTCTTCCATAATTTCCCAAAGATTTCCACACTCTGCATCAAAAAAAAAAAAAAAAAAAAAAGACTTCCCAACACCCCCACTGAAGTAAAACTGTGGCACTCAAGAATACTGAAAACATTTTCAAATTCCTATAAAGACTGGGGCAAAAATATGTGTACAGTTATGAATATGCAAAACCCAGAGTTTATTCTTGTATTATTTATTAAATATTGTATTATTTTCCATACAAAGAACTGTTAACCTGCTCTTGCCCCACACTGTAATTCTGATTAAGCAAAATGCTTCATAAATCGTGTAAAAGCAAAAACTCTCTGAACTGTCCAGTTGTATGTGTGATTTCATTGACCTACCATGGAAATAGCAAGCTCGAGAGTCTAAATTTGGCTACAGTTTTCACCACTCTCAAACTGCCTTCATATTTTTAACTTCACAGTCTTGGTGGTACTTTGGATTTTAGTGTACGGTTCTTCCACCACTCAATTTTACCAAACCCTTTCTTTTGAAGGTGTAGACACTTGTGTAAAATACATTATAGAATCCAGAGGTGGGGAATGGTAGCCATCAAGCAAATTAATTCTTTGGCACTTATGGACAGTGGATATTCCAGAGTCTTCTGAGGAACACAGTTGCCCATGAAAAGCCAACAAGCAATCATCTACACATTTAACTTGTGAGAAATTATACACTCATCCCCAAAAAGAAGAGAACAAGAGACTAATTTTAATGGCCTAAATCCTTGCCTCTCAAAACATGCCAAAGCCACACTGGCATCGCCCGGCTAGAAATGCAGATCACCGGGCCCACCCTGGACCTCCTGAGTGCGGATTTGCATTTTATCAAGATCCCCTGTGATCCGCGCGCACAATGAAGGCTGGCCCAGGCGCTATCTCCCACGTTCCACCCACGAACGCTCGCCCCCGAGGAAGCATGAGACGGGCGACCCTGACCTGCAATTCCCTCGGTGGGTCTCAGGTCTCACGTGCCTCGCACCTCGCTGAGTGGGATTCTGGCGTTTAAAGGATAATTTGGACTATACGCCTAAAACATGACTTCACTGTTTTGTCCCCAGGTTGACCCTCAGCTCCCAACCTAACGACTGGCTTGATTAATCCAAGGCTCACATCTTTGTGTTAAAAACGGCGAGGACATCAGCGCTCAGGCCAGCTCAGCAAAGATGCGACGCAGAGTGGTCCGCCCTGAGCACACAGCCCCAGGTCAGCCGTAACTCAGGCTGCAGGGAGGACAGAGCTCTTGAGCCAAAGGTCACAAGCAGATAAAACACCAAGTGACCATGTGGAACACAATCCTTTAAGTTCAAGGGCGCATTCCTTCAAGTAAAGTTGCTACCCAATTCATTCATTTTTTTCAGGTTGGTCATTCCATAAGTAAATTTCTGCTACAGAGGAGCTTCCTGTACTTTAATTACATACATAGGTAAATCTGGAACGTCGGTTACTGACAGCTTACCTGCGCACACCTCCCCAGGTCTCTCCTGTCCAAGTACTGAAATATATTGATTGCCAATTCATACGGCAGCTGGATATCAAAGAAGGGCACATCTTCCATTTCATTCTGAGGAGAGAAAGAGAAAGGAAATAAGCTCACAAGTCTGGATTTGAAAATGCTCCCGATTCACAGGCCCTTTAAATTACCAGAGACATCCTCAGGTGGTGACAAGGGAGACGACGGTGTTTCCCAGGAGGGGCCACCCATGCTCACTGCTCGGCAGAGCATGCAAAACTGACTCAGAACTTGAGGATCATTCTCAATTCTCTGCCGCCCCCAAGTCCACCCCACACTCCCGTATGAAATCTGCAAGACCGCTTCCCATCATGCTTCAAGAAGGGGAAGCGGCGCCACCTTGGAGGCAGGGGTAAGCCCCAGGCATCGTGCAGGTCTGCGGAGGCCTCTGGCCCCTCAGGAAAGCTGAGCGGTGGGCAGCCAAGAGAGTGAGCCTTGAAGTCGGGGAGGCCATTAGCCCTCTCAGGGCAGCTGCTGCTGCCCCCCAGCTTGGAGGGAGTGCGTGCCCCACAGCCACAGAAGAAATGCTGACCTAGGTCACTCAAGTGTTTTCATCAGGAAAAGGGGAAGAGGGCCGTGAACATGAGCAAAAAGTAAATAAATGAATCGCTGCTCTCGAGCAAGGGGAACAGCATCCCGCCGCGGCCGCAGGAGAGGCACGAGGTTCCCTAATGCACTCAGGGGCTCCCGCTGGTCAACCTGAGCGAGCCAGTGCAAACAAAGCAGTTCTTCTTCGGTGTCATTTATTAATGCAGAGAAATTAGAGCTCGTCTGCCTCTGGATAAGCAATTAGGGATGAGGTAACAGGTTTTATTTGAGAGATAAGGCTGTCATGACGATCCTGGTAGCACAAAGAAATATGAGTGTGAAACAGAAAAAACCCCTGCGCGTGCACACGGAGCCCTCTGCCCGCCCCCGAGTCCACCTGCCGAAGCTCACTTCGGGGCTGGCTTCTGCAGAGCTATGTCAAGCAGCCTCTCTGTCCCAACAGAATTTGCTTATAAAATTCATCTTCAATAAGCTTTGACTGGCATCAGTGACTTAATGGTTGCAAACAAATTACTAATTCATCACTCAAACACAACACTCATTTATTGAAAGGCCAAAGTCTCAAAACTGAAAACAGTCTCAGCATTTTTAAGGGACTGTGAGTAAACTTAAACCAACTTAAACCCTACGAAGGCTCAAGGTAAAGATTTTTCTGGAAGCATGTTTTCCATTCATCTAGGAGTCTCAAGGCTAACAGACAATCAAGGGCATAAGAAGGAAATGTATTCAACTACAAAAACAGTGCAAGGCTAGGTGTGAGGGCCAAAAAGGATCTCTAGAGGGAAAGAGAGTAAGAGATGACAGTTCACTGTGGGCAAAGAAGGAACAGAATGTTAAATCAAGAGAGAAATGTTGGCTATACGGGGGGGAAAAACAGGAAAAAATCTGCAAGTGTAATTGGAAGACAAAGGGGTTCTTGCCTAAAAAAACAATGGAAAGTCAGCGGTCTAATGTCAGGCTCCGTCCCCTCCTACAACTAATCGGCTTCACTCATCGAGAAAAAGAGCCCAGATGCCACTGGAGACTCCTCAGCACAGCCTGGGGGGCGTCCCAGGCGGCGGAGGGAAGCGCCAGCAGGAAGAGGCTACCGGCTGCGAGCCTGGGCTTCTCCTGCTTTCTCCTTCGCATTATTTGACTGCGGAGAGATGGCGAAATCTACCTCACCTATTTGTAAAAGCAGCAAGAGACACATGTTCCTTATTCTCATACAAGCAGAAGAAAGGCAAAGAAAAGCCTGCGCTCATGCAAACTGAACTTCGCTCTCCACTGCTAAGAAACATGCCAAGCACTGTTTTCTTCAATCAGTCCCTTCAGGACTCACTGTAAACTGGTGTCTAGACGTGACACTGCTGTGAAGAACCATGAGGAATCACCTGCTTTTAGTTATTCTGGTGCGGAAAAGGCACAGTTCTGGGGGCAAGGGCCTTCTATCTTTTGCCTATCCGGGTGGCCAATTCCCTAGCTCACCCTGGAAAACGGGGCCTCTGCATCAGCAGACCCCAACCCTGTCCTCTTTGACCTGGACCATGAGATCTCAGGGTGCCGCCCAGCACAGAAGTTTAGAGCCAAGATTCACACTGCGGATCCTGGCTCTACCACCTGAGTAGCCATGAGACCAGGCTAAATGCATCTGAGCCTCAGTTTCCTCAACTGCAAAACATACTCAACCACCCGACGAACAGGCATGCCATTAAAAAGAAAATGTAACATTACACGGAAAGAGCTTGGCACAAGTGCCATGGCTACGCATGCAATAACGGGTCGTTAACAGTGATGCTTTCTTTCCTTGATTGACACTTCTACTCCTTTTTCCTTCAACAAATATTTGTTGATTAGGTCCGCCTCCCATGCGACTCCCATACTGCCTTGTGGTTTGCAGAGAAAGTTGTCTCCACGACACCCGCTCCCCCAGGTGCCCAGAATGCTGCCTGCTGCTGGCTCACGGCTGAGCCCCTCCCTAGGCACCGCCCTTGGCCAAACAAGCAGCCTTGTCCAAGGTTCCGCCCCCTCCCGGAGGGCAGTCTACATCCAGCAACTCGTCACTCCTAGAATGCACGGGTCTGGTCTGGCCCCCTTGCCTCAACTGGGGACCTGTCAGAAGGGCCCCCCACTAAACCGCCTGCAAGTAAATCTCCATCTTGGGGCCTATTTCATGAAAGATCCAACTTTTTTTTCCGTCCAAGCAACAGACACAATCCATAACAGTACTGTGCTCAACACATTCCCAAGGGTTCTCCCGCACAACTCTGGGAACACTAGGCAACCCCCCACTTTCCTCTACTCAAGGAGACGTAATGGAATACAGGTAAATTAGAGTCACGGCATTATGCCAAAAAACCAAACAAAAAACTAGAGTAATTTCAAGGTTAAGTCAACCAATTCATAAACTTTGCTTTGTTATTATTAGTAATGTATCACTTGGGAAACACCTTACTAAAAATTGACAGTTATGAGCATGTTTGACCTTGTGGTTGAAAATGCAACTCTTTTATAGGCATGCATGAGTTGACAAGAATATGGAGCCACATCCTGGACAGAAGCTATTGCCCTGTAACCACGTCCACCCTAACAGCAGCAGTCTTAAGTGCTGGCTTTGGTACTTCCACGGTTCATGAATATAAGTAAAAAAATATTACTTCCTACTAATGTGCATAGAAATGCCTTGTAACCTAAAAGGTACAATCAGACTTCCACCTAGGCTCTGCTGAAGCACGCAGCCATCCAAGGAGTTATGGGCCACATTAACCAAGTCTCTATCTATACTGACTTCAAAACATGGAAATGGACAAGTTGGCCTTTCAGAAAAAAAGACACTCCTCAAGAAGGAGATTATAGACACTGGAAATATTAATACAGGAAAACCTGGTCACACTATAAAAATGTCACTATGACTAAAATGTTTAGAGAGAATAATTTCACATTAATAGCCCAAGCAAAGTAAGATTAGCCAAATTTATGATACAGAAGACCAATAAATTTAAAATACTAACATTCTTCAAATTTAAGGAAAAGTATCTTTTCTGTAACATATTGCATAAGGTGGATTTTAATTCCTTAATGGCGCAGATATTATTCTCTACCTCTATTCATGACTCCTATCGTGAGTTATACATCAAACTTATCTGCGGAGTTCAAAAAAAATGGCCACGGTCTCTCACACCTTTGCCCCAAACTTCCGAGCGTGGGCTCAAGCATCTCTTCCTCAGGGGCCCTCACACACACTGAAAGTTGAGAATCACGAGCCTCAATTATAGACAGATATAAAAATCAATACTTTCTCATCCAAGCCAAAAAAAAAAAAAGACAAGAAAAGAAAGAAAGAAAGAAAGGAAAGAAAACCCACAAAAGGATCAAGTTACTTTGTTAATTCAAAGTCAGTGAATACTAGATTTTCCCAAAGTCTACTGGACTTACTCCAAAAATGCTAAGAGAAATTGCAAATAGATCCCTCCCCAGGGAGGCTGATTTGTACTCCTATGTGCTAATGTAAGACTAATTCTGTAAATGGATTGGTTTTGTGCCTTACTGTTAGAAATTTAATCTGTCTTCTCTTGTTTAGTAGAAGACGGGATAATTACTAAGAGCCAAATCAGTAAAAAGTGAAGAAACTGACTTCGGTTTTGTTCCCAATGTATATCTCCAGGGCAAACAGAACACTCAAGATCTCTCTAAGCGGTGTTTTAAGAAACTGAGAAAAGCACCTCAAGTTCAAACAATAGATATATAATAACATTTCTGCTAAATCTGTGACTGAAAGGAGACTGTTTTCTAAAGGAATTTATCTCACTCAACTTTGCACATACTGCAAAGGCAGCCCCGAGAAGTCCACGCTATCTCCGTCAGAATGAGTGGATGAGTTCCGGCTTCACCTGTGTCTTCTTTAAAGGGAAAACATCGGCCAGGGGAGGGGGGAGGGGCAGGGGGCGCCTGAAGCACTGTCAAAATAAATGGGCATTCGTTTATTCATAAAATCCCAAATTTGTCTCAAAATTCGTGTCTTTTTTTAAGAGAAAGCAGGAGTTTCTGAGCAATGACATTACAAGAGTTTTTTTTTCCTATACTTCTGAATTCTTCTAAATATCTTTACAATGAGCATGTGACCGTTTCAAAGAAAACCATACTTTTTTTTTAAACAAGGTGTTTTATGTTCAAAACACTATGTGAATTCAGGGCCATCCCACTATGGGAGCGGGAGGAAAAGTACCGTTGACAAATGTGCAAGAAATGAGGTCTACACTCCAAGAGCTAACAGCTTTTATAAAGATAAGTCACCATCATGTAAAATAGAATAAAAACAGGAAACTACAAAAGGCAATATAAATGGACCCTCAGGTATTCCAAAGTTCATTAGTAAGTCAGCTATTTAGAGCTTGGAAATCATTTTTCCCAAAGAAAGAATGCTATAAAGAATGGCTAAGCTCCCAAGCAGTCCACAGAAGGCCCATTTATCTCTTAACATTTAACCTAATCCCCATGCCTAGCTATGATCAAGAGCAAAAGGT